GAAAAAATACAAACTGTTTCAAGAGTAAAAATAACTTGTTTTAAATCAAGAAGTGTTATTTGATAGAGTTACAGTTATTCTTCGTCTTGATTTTCTTCTAATACATCATAAATAAGTGGGTAGTTCAATGCTTCAATAAGCGTTTCAAAGAGTTCTTGTGCCGTTGATCCAAGATAATAACAAGAAGCATCTGGGTTGGTCATCCAAATCTCGCACAAACCGCTGATGAGGCGTGAGTATTTGTCTTGTTCTTCTTCAGTCCACGTGGTCCTATTCGAAGTGATCTTTAGAGAGAAGGTTTTGTGCCAGTTGAGCGCAACGTTTGCTTCGGCAGAATAAAGACACTGGCTAACCGCTGGGGCTAGTGGGTCAATGTGCTTAGAAATTTCTCCAGTTTTGAAAACATGCTTTTGGGTATTTTCTTTAGCGCGGTTGGATAGAATCTTTTCCAATTCTTGTAGACATATTGTTTAACGTCGTAAGGTGGTTGATCAGAAAACTTCTTTCAAGGACGATTGTCTTGTAGTTTGCTTTCGAGTAGATCATCAGGATAATCAATCCTCCATATTGTATTAAAGATGAACACGGCAAAGATGTCTTGTAGGATGTCTTTCGTGAGGTAATTTCCTTCAAAGCGTTATTTCGTTTTTCCCCGAAGAATTCTTGTAAGGACTTCCATGGTCATTGTTTTTTTTTTCTGAAGACAGTGTAGAAGCCGGGCACAATCAATTTATATATTTTTATTTACCTTGTCATAGAATCGCGTGATTGGTGGTTGTTTCTCTGTCTTATTGACATAGGAGTCACTTTCAAAGCCCTAAAAGTCACGTCACTATCTGACATTTTTATTCACAAGATAAATCCAAATAACGAATCGCCCACTAGCCAATGCTGCTCGGTCCACGTGATTTAAAACAATACATTCCTCTGTCACCAATTTTGTTGTGGTCTTTCTTGACCGTATTTTGAGATTTCACTTAACCTCAAAGACAACGAAAACCTACTATGGGCATTAGATTACTGCATCAGCGCGAGGTCTGGCAATTTTATTCCGCGGACGGGTTGAGGCTATTCTATTTCCAATTTTTAATGCGGCTCAGAAGAAAAACTCATGAATGCCCGTATCTTTGCACATCGATCCATTCGTCTATGGCTGAATATCTTTTCAAGAGCGACACCGAATTAGTCAAGAACTACACAGATCTGAATCAAAATCGCTCCTGTCACTTATGCTTCAAAGATGGGGGACATTGCCCTTGCTTTCCAAGACAGAAAAGACGATATGGAGGGAGTGAAAACCCGACTTGGTACACTCGAGAACAACGACCAAAAACGCTCACCAAAGACGACTTGTTCGACATCCTGTTTGTCACCTCGCGTTCTACGAAGTCGTTGAAAAATTCGTCGTCTCCTCAGCGTGGATTGAAATGGTCATCAAAGTCATGGACTGGAACAAGATTAGAGGCTGGGAACGAATTATATTTAGTACAGACGAATCCAAACTCCCTCTCATTTTTATCAGAAATGCAGACCATGCGTCTATTGTGCTCGACCTCTGTGCCATGCTCCAGTGCTCAAAAGATCCGTTTAGTCCCACTCCCGCCGAATTCTACAGGGATACCTGGTGGGTCAAACGATCCATGACATATTGTTACATCTTCCCTCACAATGATGAATATTGCCGAAAACATTTTACCTGGCTCACTTCAGGTCCAGAGAAGTAAGGAAATGGATTCCTTAATATTATTATTTTTTTAAATTCATTCCTTCTAATGCTATATTCATTTCTTTGCAAGGCAAGCCAAAAGCAGAAAACAGGATTCATTCCCTTCGCAGGTACAAATGCATGATGTCTTGCCATGTTTTTTATCATGCTGTCGTCATATGTTTGTCAGGAGCCAATCAAGAAGACGCGTGATTTTTTTTCTTTAAAAATTATGTATTTTGCTACTACTTTGTTACCAATAAACGTTTTTGTTGTTATATCTGGCTCTTTTGATTTTGTCCGACTCTCTTTTTTAAAACCTACCCAAGGTACATTTCAAAATTTACTCACCGGCAGATTTCTCAAATTTGAAAAGTAAAATAAACAAACTCATATATAGACCCACACCTTTGCGATTCGATCCATTCTACTCTTCTCTTTCTCACGAACGGATGTTTTTTTTCGGGCTCTCGAAAGAGTTCGTATATTTTGTATTGCCAATAAACGTTCTTGTTTCTTGCTCTTTCCCGACTCTCTCGGAGCTGCGCTACGTGGCTTCCTACCCCTCCCGCTTCACGTCTGTTCATTTTCATCAATACCACCCCTCCCCCTATAAAATTTTAAAAGTGACACCGGTATACTGACCCCTATACTTCTCATGGTCGACTACAATGTACGTCTGAAGTCGATTCTAGGATTCGAATATTTAAACGGCTGCTAAAAACATTTTATTAGGACTAACATTCTATGGCCCGATTGCCCATTTATGTCTGATAGTAGTAGTTCTCCCTCCTCGCAGTTCCCATCAACCTCTTCGCACCCATCAACAATGTCATAAAATGGTATGAACTGAGTGATATGAACATTCAGTTGTGGATTATTTAGATTACGCAAACGTGGTGTTTGTAAAATAAGGTTTCTGAAAGCAAAACCGACTTGAAATGTAAACACCACATAGTGCAAACAATAAAACTCTGAAATACGAATAACAAAATAGTACAAAATCGCGCAAATTAAAAACTTGCAGTATTTCGTCCAATTCCACGTCCAAAACGTTACGTTATACTGACTGCATTTTACGTAACATCTACGTAAATCTACATGTCTTACCCGTGTATGTCAAGTAAATGCATGTGCGAAGAACGCATGTAATAAACGACTTTACGTCAACTTTTGCGTAAACACGTGTCTACATTACGTATGCAAAACCTTACTTTACGTCAACCGTTCGTAAATACGTGTCTAAATTACGCATGTAATACCTGACTTTACGTTAACAGTGCGTAAATACGTATCTAAATTCCGCATGTAATCCCTGACTTAACGTCAAGCGGGCGTAAATATGGTGGCTAATGCATGTATGCCTGCCATGCATGYCATTAACAATACACGATTGTCATTTGACGTTTAAGATTACAAATATTTATGGCGAGAATATAATCTTCTTCAGAGCTAGATACATCTATTTACATATGAAATCTAAAATTCTCGCAAAATCCCTGGAGAAATTGCAATGGCAATAATTAGCGGAATTATAGTAGGAAGCGTCAGAAAATTACCCTTGGGGTCCCCTGTGAATGAAATGATTCTACATTATGATTTGTGGGTCTGGTGACGAGTTTGAAATTGATTTGTGTGGGAGAATTCGTCCACCGTTAATATATAATTCATCTTTGACTGTGACGTCTTCGCCGAGTACTGACACGCCTTCCATGCGAACCTAATATAGCGAAGACACAATGATAAGTAACAATCCCTAAATCTCATCACAGCAGTGTTTGCGTTAGTCCCGAACTGGACCCTCTTTTCTCAATTACTTTGTTATTCTATCCGTGTAAAAGTTAAAAATCTGATTCCCTGATGATGCTGTAGACAGCGAAAGCTCGAAATCATATTTTTGTTGTAAACTCGATCTACACACTTAGCGGCTCCGGCTACACTTTGTATTTTCATCACATCACTCAACTATGCTGCTAAAGGATAACT